TATGAAGGATTTCTCATTTGAATTGTCCTAAATCGAGCCTGTGAAATCTCCATAATATATTATTTTATGATTATGCCATTTTCTAGCTTCTTCAGTTTGTTGGCATTGTGGGGATTGGTGGGGAATGATAGGAGGATGCTTCTGTTTAGCTGTCACTGCATAACAAACCATCCCGAAGACTAGTGGTTGAAAGCAACAACAATCATTTATTTTTCTCATGAAACCTGGGCAGGATGCAGTGGAGGTGGCCCATATTTGCCCTTTGCAGCTTCATCTGAGATGGCTCAGTTGGCAGCTGGAGAATCTGCTTCCATGTTGCCTCACTTGCATGGCTGGCAAGTTGTTTCTGCTGGCAGATGAAAGAGCAGCCAGGGGAGTGAGCCAGTGATTTCATGTCTTCTTCATGTGAATTCGATGGACAACTTGGGCTTCCTCATCACATGATGGCCAAGGGCCAAGGAAACATATTCCAGAGAGCAAGGAGGCATCCTCCCTATCTAACTTTAGAAGTCACAGCCATCACTATTTGCCAAATCAGTCACAAAGTCCATGACATTGCAAGGCAGTGGAACAGACTCCTATAACTCAACAAAAGGAAAAGCAAGCTGAGATTATAAGAAGAATAGGTGGTGTAGAAGATACTATTATAACCATTTTTTGAAAATATGATCTTCCACAGTAACAAATCATGGCAAACTGAAAAGAAAAAAGAAAATATACACTATTTGAAAAAGCTATGCCATAGACTTTAAAACATATTTCTAATCCTTTGTACAATATTTGCAAATATATTCCTTTCAGTTAGTTCCCTTATATCTTTAATTTGTTCTTCATGCTTCATCTTTAGGGATTTTATTTTTTCCTCTTTTTCTTCCTGTGATATTTTTCCCTGATCACATTGCTCTTCTATTAGTTTGATTTCTTTATACAATTGCTCAGCATAGATTTTCTTCAAGGCTTCTGCCTGGAGTTTCAGCTTTTCATCTGTGTCCTTGTAAATGGCATCAGAAAAGTGAGCCCCTCCGTTCTTCCGCACCATTTCCTCTATCAGCTCCACCAGCTCCTGCAGTTGAGCTTCCTTCTCAGCTTCATCTGCATTCTTGTTATTGAAGGCACAGCAGCGGGACCCACACTCCTTGATGATGTTTTTTAGGTTCACATCTGATTCCTGTAAAATGGCATTCAGTGGCTGACCATCCAAATAATCTTTGTGAGTGAACAAGATGATCATGTGCTTCATGGCCGGCTCCCCAAAGATGGCCTTGATCAATGCAACTGTTTTCTGCTCGTCATCCATGTAGC